CGTATTTTCCGCATGTGTGTGTATGGTTAGGATGTGGAATTGCGTCGTTTCTATTATTTTATTCATTATAAACATTTAAAATTTTACGCACTAAGTCGAAGTATAAATTTATTATAATAATACCTATTAAATATATTATAATTATGTTATTAGTTATATCATTAATTATAATAATGATTCCAAGTTAACTTGCAGAGTTTCTATGGAAATTATATGAATCATTATCCTTAGTTACTAATATCTCACGTATAAATATAAACGTGTTTTAATCACGTTTTACGCAATGATCGCTAGCTATTGTCAGTCGATTTCAGGAAAATGGTACGTAATTAGAGTGTGAAAGTTGAATGTTAAACTCGGGTGTCGGAGACGTTCCGGGACGTCCTCTCTAGTTTAGGTCTGCGCCCGAGTGGTATGTGTGAGAACCGTGGAGTGAGTGTGTTGGTGTGCCTGTTTTGCCATTTTTTAAATATAGGGCCCCTGGATAGGATAGGTAGCTTACTTTCTGGTATGCCTGTGTTTAATTNATAAGTAGGTAGGGCCGGGCAGGTTGGCACAGTCTCTGGTCGCGTGCCCCCTTTTCGCGTGTTCAACCTGTTTCAGGAAATCTAATTTGAAAAATCGACAGTGAAATTGGTACAAATGGGACATGCCACTTGTTTCTGATTTTACTCTTCGATTTTTTGAATTTAGCATCGCGGTCGCGGTCGCGGATAGGTCGCGAGTAGGTCCCGAAACGAACGTTTATGTAGGCATTGCTCGAGCACGCACGTGCGAACGAACAACGATCATTGTGATCGATGGTCGTCCATGTGCAACTGAGTCAGCTTCCGCGATTTATCTTTTTATTTCACCTTTGTAAGTTATTTTTTAGTTTGCGATTAGAAAGACTCGAGCTAAATGTAAGTTTCAGCGGGCATTGCGCTCGAAGAAAGAAGGGGCTAGAAGCCGAAGAGGCCCGGCAAATTGCCACGAAGAGGGTCACAACAAATGGCGTCTCATCCTCTGGATCATTAAAATGATTCCAGAGCATGGGAAATCATTCTTGTTACTACTTTGTCACTATGCTCTTTTAGTATTTGTAGTTGTATTCGTTTTCTCTCCATCATCGTTTTGGGCAAATCGCGATTTTTCTTAATAGTGTTGCGAGAGATCAATTACGGATTGAATTAGAGTTGCGAAGAAATGATAATCATGTTTGCTTTAGAGTTGCGAATTACGATACCGCGATTGTCTTTAGGAATTTCGATTGTGAATTTTTGAAGTTGTCTTAGAGTTATACATAGTAAAATCTCTTTTCTTTTTTTTTTAAATGGGGATTTAGCGTCGCATCGATTACGAGGTCTTTAAAATCTTATTTCCTATTATTTTAAATTAGAGTCATTGCTATTAATTAATTTTAGAGTGTTAGAATATTTAAAGTAGCTTTTTGTTTATACAGTAACTTTTGTACTGTTAATAATAATTTTTATTGAATTTGCTTTTAGAGTTAGTGTTGCGACATTGTTCCATCGCGATTTCCAATTACTTTTCCTGTTAGTGTTGCGATAATGAATGATCGCGTTTCTTGAAGTAGTGTTGCGTTTACAAAATGCCCAAATTCTTCCACTGAATTCGTGGAAAATTGTTCCTGCTCCTGGATCACCTGATACAGCTATAAGAGCTGTGGTCATTCATCAGCAATCTCCAGCATGGTTGCACTGGACGCGTCGCAATTAGTGTTGCGCATTTTTAAATAAGATGAGTGCGTAGATCAATAACGTTGCGTGCTTATTTTCGGAAGTTTTAAACATGACGAAGCAATCTTCGCATTTGATTTTGAAAATTTCCCAATTCATAATTAGTGTTAGTGAATTAGTGTTGCGAAAGAAGATACAATTTGTTCCACGGGTTCATAATGTTGATAATTGTACAGTAGCCCTTCTGGCTATTGTATCGCGGTTTCCTTTTCAATAGTCTAGCCCTTCTGGCTATTCATTTGCTTTTATTTTTCCAAATGTCGGGACTGATTTAGTGGTGTGGAATTTCTGTGTTAAGTTTTTTAAACTAATAGTCAAACAAATAAGTTTGTTACAGATTTATCAACTTCCAATGGATAAAAGATGGAATAACATGGACTATGGAATTTAAAGGGAATGATGCCTGGATCCTGTGGAAATAAATGGTAATTAAATATATCTTGTTAAATTTACCTCACAAATCTTTTTGACATAAACAAACGAAGATTGCACGTAGAATACATTAAATATAGAAAATTCTATGAAATATCCAAAACAGAATGCTCGTTACAAAAGTTAATGTCTAAAGTAATTGATTGGCTGTGATCTAAGTGTTTGTGTAAATCCATTGTGTGTACATATTCGTTAGACTAATGAAAAATAAATAATATATAGTTTTGATATCTGGATAACTAATTTGTAAGCGTATGGGAAATATTTCATACGAATCTGTATACAATCTTACGTACAAAAATATTTTAGAAAGTTTAGGATTAATTATTTCTTCTACAATGATTATATCTGCGAATAAGAGAGTTGTTCTTTCTTCTTCCTTTTAATTTTTCGCATATTATAAAATTTATTTAAGCTGATAAGTTCTTTAATATTTTATTAATAACTTTAGAATTTTAATTTACTATATGAAAAGAAGTCATCGTAATAGGGTAATATCATAGATAGAGCTCTTTTTGATATATAACAGAATGATTTCAGTTAGTTACCAGCTTCACATTTCAGTATTGAAAGTTTGACAATACTATAATGGGTTTCAAAAACCATATTTCTGGCGTATTCGCTACTTGATCATCTTCGATGTAATTCCTACACTCACCAGTTGTGACTGCACTAAAAGATTAGTGATTTTCTACTATGTCTGTATTTCAGAGTACAGGACATGAAATTCCATAAGATGCTTAGTGTATTCATATCTCGTCTGCGATCCGGGTAAGATGATCCTAAGCTCGATCTCATTATATATATAGGTCAAGCTTGACCAACTAGTGGTCTGCCAGCTATAACACGTGGCTCGTGCCCCTCTTCGAGAGCTATAAGGGAAGAACCTCTTCCATACTTACTTTTCTCCGTCGTTTCCTTCCCTTCTGAACTTCAGCCTCACCACATCTCACGGTCAAACTTCAATTTGATTACCACGTGACGCTCTTATAGTCATATCTCATATAGTATTTAGTTTCATCGATTAAATATAGCAGATAGTCTATACGTGGTGACAAGCTCGGTTAAATAAGATTGGCGCCTCACAGAAAATAGAAGCGGCTCATTGAGTCAGACACGTGAAGGGAAAGAAATTGGACAGGCCTACTCTATAATTGGAAATAATTACTTTAATAATGGTATAATTGTAAATAAACGTAATTTTGTCTGGTAATGTATAAAAACACTGGTATCGAAATTGCGTACTGCCATGGACATTTAACTTCTCACTTTCAATTTTATATACGTTTGTAAAGATACTCTGGAATTGCGAGCTAAAAATAATATGACAAGGTTTTACGTGAACGCAACAAGGAAAACTACTCTGTACCAACTGTAAGAGCGAAGTGCATTTATATATGTAATGAACATTTTTTTTTAAATCAATAATAATGCTGTAAACAAGGTTTATTTTGATCATACGATTAGCGATAATGATCATTATATTTTATTTTATATTATATTTTATAGAAATATTTAAAGATTTCATTTCTGTATAATAATGTATGCTTCTATATAGTTTGCTATTTTTACACTGCTTGAGGAATGTTATGCAAAAGTAATTTTCTTTATCTCTGAAAAACAAGCCACGGTAAAATCCTTGAAGTAAAATTGGACTAATTTTGCAATATATTCTACTGAAAACTAAATTTAGATCCGGAAATGCATGGTAAGCAAATTTAAATATTCGGTATTCATTTTTCCATTGATGAATTTGATGAATCTGTTTTGTTGTACACACAAAACCTTGTCATATTATTATGATTTATTTCCAATGATCGGCACATTCGGAAATTAGAGATATTGAGAAATTAGAGACAGGAATATTTTGATTGAAACTATAGGCACGGCCAGTGTGTACACTACAGAACAGGGTGATGATTTTCGGTCGACATTCAATGTGTCTATAAATACTCTGCGAAAAATAGCGCACGTTACATTGGTCGTGTTAGTAGAGATTAATCAATTGTCGAGGTAAGTCGAACGTAGGTTAGTCGTTGGCAAGCGTCGGGCGTTCGACCATTTGACCGTCACGTTTTGCAGAAATTTATCTTTTTTCTTTATTTCACTATGCAAAATACGAATAATCACTTTCGTTTGTGTTTTCACAAATTATGCAAACATTTTTGTTTGTTACGGATATGAAGAAGAAAAATTCAGAAAATAAGAAGAAAATCAAGTGTTCACGTGTAATCTTTATTTTGGAAGACAATACTGCGATTCTCGACTGGCTGAATCATTTCAAACCGTCAGTATTTTTGCGTAACACGGCAAACTTCCGAAAGTTTGCACAGGATTCGGAATTCTTATTGCGTCAACACGAATGTCGGCGGTAGTAAGCGTGTAAACGTCGGTGAACACGCACGCCACCGTTTGTCCAGTGCAAACACGATCAAGAGAGTGGAACTCTTTTAAGCTTCTCTAACGATAACTGTAAGCCTGAAATAGCGGATAGTCGTTACAGATTGCATCATGAACTTGATCTATTACGTAAACATATGATCTGTTACGTACACACGAACTTACTTACGAACGCACTTACGAACATACAAGCGTAACTTTTTCGCTTGTCGATGCTTCGTCGATTTTCGAAATTTTATATTACGAAACTCTTCGATGTTCTAACATTTTAATTTTTCCAATGACAAGCGTAAGTTTATAGTAGCTTTATATTCGCAATTTACTTATCGACAAGTCGAAAACGAAAATGTCTTTGCAAAGTAGTCAAATGCGATAACAAATCATAGTAATTTACATGCGGTTAAAAACCGTCACTTTGTAACAGATATTTGCCGGTATAAATATAATCCGTTAGTTGCCAACGAATCTTTAGCGGAAGAAGCATCGTACAGTCCGCAATCACGAGTGGACTCCTGTGGATCCAGAGTGACGGAAGCAAGTGACGAATCCAGCGGCAGTAACCGAGGAGGGATATAACACAGTCAGTTCTTAAATCGTAGTCGGCCAGAGCACCGATTATCTTTCAAAGAGGAAGAAAGGAAATTTGTGTCCGAGCGCTGTCGAGTTGATAGCTGTTTAATCATGTGGATTGCTCGAACCCAGACTGTTCTCTTGTGCCTCCTAGTGATCCTAGCGTCGTATTCACACGCTAACAATTCCACCGTGCTGAAGAGTGAAAAGAGATTGAAAATCTTGGCGATCTTCGCTCACCTTGGCAAGAGCCATTTCGACGTGTTCGAGCCGCTTCTTGTCGAACTGGCGCGTCGCGGTCACGATCTGACGGTGATCTCTCATTTCCCAAGAACCGAGAAAGCAACGGCGGAGGAACCTTTGCCTACTTACAAGGATATTAGCCTGCTAGACGAGAAAATTGGCGTTTTTGTAAACGTGGTCGATCTGAACTCGATAGATGTTTTCAGCATACTTATACCGATCACAGATTTATATAAGCTGCACTCAGTGTCGGCAATCACGTGCGAGATCTGCTTGAAGAATCCAGAAGTGAAACGTCTGGTTGACTCTGGCGAGAAGTTCGATCTGCTGTTCGTAGAGAGCTTCAACAGTAACTGTTTCATGGCTTTAGTGCACAAGTTCAACGCGCCTTTCATACAAATATCCACTCATCAGCTGATGACATGGGCCATCGACGATTTGGGACTGTCCAACGAGGCCAGTTATATACCGGCGATGTTCACTCGATTGCCAAGGCCGATGAACTTCTTCCAAAGAATGATAAACGCGGTAACGATCTTGTTTTCGACGATGGTGTTTCGCACGATGTTCCACTGGCAGGATCAATCCATAGCCAATAAATATTACGGACCGGGGCTTCCAGACTTGAGGTCGGTCAGTAACAACGCATCGTTTATGTTCGTCAACACGCATTACAGCGTGCACGGCGCTATCTCGTTCCCGCCAAATGTGATTGAAATAGGCGGAATTCACATCTCGCCGAAAGTGAAACCTCTGCCAGCGAACATCAAAAAGTTCTTGGACGAAGCCCACGAGGGCGTTTTGTATTTCAACCTAGGCTCCATGGTGAAAACTGCCAGCATGCCGAAGGACAAGTTGGACGTACTAATCAAAGTGTTCGCGTCTATTCCTCGAAAAGTGATTTGGAAGTGGGAGGTGAATGAAATACCGAAATTATCCAGCAACGTTCTGGTTCAGAAATGGTTGCCTCAGTACGACATATTGAGTAAGTATTATAATTTACTTTACTCGTGACTTCTGTTGTTATGTTTCGAAGTTTCGACGCACATACGTTACGTATTATTCCAACGTGTTGTTACGACACTTAGTATTCGGACTTATTGCGTGATAATAGAATAGTTAAAGTCAAACTCTATGACACTTATTACTGTGAAAATTGTGTCCGACGTGGTTGTGTATGATAACGCTTTTGTTGATTCCGATACCAGACTAATGTTTCATCGATAACTCTACTATAATTTTCCAAAAATAGTATTATTGTATAAAAGATGGTAATCGCATATTGTCGATGATACTTCTGTTTCGTTGTTTTATCGTTTTCGTGAAAAGAGATTAGATTGATGGATATGATATATATATCGTGCGTAGCTCCTTCAAAATATCATATATTTAATTGGAGTAATATCTTATCTCTTTCTATTTCTTCTAATATCTTTTCCAACTAAAAAATTCCAAAGTGAAAAATTTTCAGAGTGGGGCTACAATATTTTTAATTTGCAGTCTCTTGTAATTAATTTATGGATTAAATTTCTCCGAAATGTTAAATGTATATCTCCATTAATTTTGTAAACGTATACATATGTATGAGAAAAATCACAGGAATATTTAATCATTGTTTCATTACCGATTTAACCGACCGACGTTAATGCAACATTCCTTCTCAATTTTGTATTATCAAATTCCACTTTTTAATAAGTTTGAGACTATGAAATTACGCTTTCTACCTGGATTGAAATATTTATGTCATGATTTATAAATGTCATGATAAATTAGTGTCAGGTCCTTAATAGATTAATAAGATTTTGACATTTTTGTTGTCAATCTTCTTAACATTGTATATACTTGATTCATAGTAAGCTCCTTCTTCTTTGTTAATTAATAAAGTCAAAGTTTAAAGAAATTTCATTAACCTAATATTTTATAAATACTTCGTGAGCATCTCTCGAATTCATTTCATTATAATTATATTCTCTTTCTAATTTCCCCTGCATTAATAATGTTAAATAAAAGCTTTCGTTCTGAACAAAAAATGCCAGTCTGCATTTTTAGCGTTATTCTTATATAAAAAAAAGTTCTATTTACGATACTCCCGTTATCAAGTTCAGCTTCGTGATGATACGTCGTAACGATACTTCGTCGTTATGTAACGACGACCTGTCGAATGAGGTGACAACGAATCATTGCATATTTTATTAAAATCTTCGCGGGATTATTGCTTTTTTGCTAATGAATTGCAAATCACTTTTTGCGAGCTTATACCTCGAATTTTCACCGAATTTATTTTCACCAAAATTTAAAATGGTATTAAAAATTAATAACTTTTATACTAGATAGTTTTCTGTCAACAATAATGACAGTCATATCTTTAACGATGTATGTCTATTCATTTGTTACCTATTCCATTTCTTAAATATAATTTTACTTTATAATTGTGTTATGTCGTATTTATAGTTCCTTCTGTGCGTCATTAGTCTCTCGTCTATAATTTATTAAAATATATACAATTGAAAGTTTAACAAATTTTAATTATCTCCAAATTATTTGAAAAATTGAAAATATTGTTTTTATATAGTTTTCTAGTTATATAGTTATATAGTTACTAGTTATATAGTTTTCAAGAATTATGATAGCGACAGAATTAGTTATACAGATTAATGACATATTTATTTTACAATTTATTACATACATTTTCTGGATCGATTTATTTGAAAAGAAAACTGTTCCAATTTCGTGTTCTATAGTTGTGGTAATAAGTATTAAATGATATGCAATACTTACATCATTCAAAAATTCTTAATTCGGAAATTTCTTTTTCTTTTGTCCCATTTTTGTTCTATTTCTGAGAATTGTCCACTGTAGGTCATTGTAAATAATTTAAACTATACAAACTGAAAATTACGAACGTACGCCGTTGCCATTATCCATAATTAGTTGGCAATTAACCGAGTAAATTGCAACTTATCTTTATGTCTGCCGAGTCGAAAAATTTGAGTCATTTCATAAATGTTTTGTCTCTTTGGAAATCTGCAAATCAGCGCTATTTGATTCATCAGCAAAGCGTGTGTGTGCCACGTAAACTCACGTTTTTTTTAAAAATGGCAGTATCTTTCTTCAGCGATTCTACGATATCGTATTATGAATCATTATGAAATCAGCTTGCTCAATGACAACGCACAATTTAAAGTAAGAGAGAAAAGAAAAAGTTTCTCGTTAAAATATATTTATGTACTTGTATTTAGTGCGATATTCATATTTGACTGAAGAGTTTTTAATTTTTTAAAATGAATTAATAAGTAATTTATTAAAAAATATTCAATTGACTTTCAAATTAACCTGAGAGTTTGAGTAATGTGATGATTTTCGTCTGTCAGATGAATTTTATTCATCTATGAAATTCTTACAAGGATATTTTTAAAATGAAACTAAATTTCATATCTTGTTGGTGAGAGGTCATCGACTATCAGGCTAACAGTCAGATTTCTGACTAAATATTTACGAATATAACATGTGTCTTTGGTGTGTCTCGCTATCATATGGATTTTTATCTCTTATCAAATCTAATAAGAGCAAAAAATCTATCGATATATCAACTAATAACTGATAAAATTTCTATTAAATCTAAAGACTCTAAAGAAAATTACAATTAATAAAAAAAATGATACCTTCTATTTTTTTTAATTATCTATAAACCTTCGAAAATAAGATAAAGAGATAAAATTACAACTGTTCAAACTTATTCGAATTTTTAAAAAACGAGCTTCTTTCTCTACGCTACAGTGAAATACGGCACTTTTAACAGTAGCAATAAAATAATGAGTAACAGTAATAAAATCATTAAAATTACAACAAACATCTGATAAAAGAAACCAAGAAATACGTACTATTATATGTCACTTAAGTCAACTTGCATATTCCTGAAATTATTCTATAATTGAATATTTTTACTATTCAATTATTCTTTAATTGAATAGTTTTGAATTCAAACGTCTCTAGAGTGACGAAAAAATTTTTCAGTAATTTTAATAACAACATCTCTCTGAGAAAAACGAATTCAAGATTGTCAAACTAGAAGCTTCGTACTTTAAAATGAACTGGAGCAGACTGTTGTACGATTCCCTTTCTTACAAAGTTCAAAATATCGTCAATTTTTCATCGAGCGTGCGGATAGAATATTTTCACTTACGTTTACTTTTCTGTTTCACAAAATTTCCATGCTTAATTTTTTCATTTTTTTTTCGAATACGAGTCGCAACACTGTTCGATGCCTCGTCGAACGAATCTCGCGGCGCGAGAAACGGATCGGTAACTCGGCATCGAAATTGAAATTCCATGAAATTCCGCCGGATCGAACTAATCGGAACGGCCCTTGGAAATCGGTGCCGTAATACCGAAAGCGGTATTTTGATTCAGGCAGCGCATCGCACCGCACTCGATATTTGCCGTGGCGATGCCGTACGTCGAACAGTTTTTGAAACTTTCAAAACGGTTTGCATAGTCGAGGAGCTTTCGTTGGCTCGAAATGATATCGCGTCATTGATATGCCTGTACGGTATAACGCTGTCGCCGATCATCAAACATCAAATTATTTTTCGATCTCGAAATTATTTCGCCGTGTTCGACTTTCCTCTATTCGATTAATCGTCATTATCGCTCGATATAACTATCCTCTCTGGCAATTATCGATTCGTGGTACGCAACGTTCCGCGAATCATTTTACCATGCGCGATATTCTATAGCACTCGTGTCGTAATCGCGGTCATCGAAGGAAGTGGTTTTAAAACGTCGTCGAAGGCGAACGTTCACGTTCCCAGTTCCTCTTTTGTATTTGACTTTCTTATATAACGTGATCTAAATTGGGTATCGCATCTACGAATTGGCACGAGATATAAAATTGTCGAAGATTTGATTTATTTTAACATAACGTTTACTTTATAATATTTAGTCATAGAGGGGAAATATTCTTTTGGCATTCTTTTTTACGAGTTTGAATTGATACGTTCGATCAAACTCTCTGTTATATTTTTATATAATTGAAACTTAATTCCTTCAGTATGATGATTCCGAGCATGATGTTGCCTTTCAGCTGCCTCCCTGAATATTACGTAGAGTTAATTTCAATGTAATCTTCATTACGAGGGGAATCCTTTTGACATACAATGATTATAAGCAATAGATATTATGCTGATTTGCAAATATTGCTAACGATTGTTAAAGAATGTTGATGTCATAGAAAAGATAGATAAGTTCCATAAAAAACGTGTTAAACTCTTATACTATTTATAGAATTTACTAAAACACATTGCCAATACTACCGTTCAAAATGCAAATTTTATTGACTATTCCATTTTTAGTAGAAATTTGCACACGTCGCTCCAAAATGTAACGTTTCAACTTTGGACGAAATCTATCAGAAACGAAGACATGTCAAACTGTTTCCCAATATCTACTACTGAAGAATGTTACTCGATTTGAACAACTCTTTATTTAGCTCTCGCCGACAGTTAACTATCTACGCTCAGACAATTTGCTAGATTTCGCGGAGAAAATGGTAATCATCGTAAGAGAAGGGAAGGCTTAGGTAATTTCTTCCATAGAACCACCGATAGTTGCCGAAGAAGGATCGTTTAGAGGACTGTCAGTTCGAATACAGTTGGTGTCCTGGCACGGATGTTCTTTCGACGAGTTGGTTGGCCAACAACGAAGACACAGGACCACGGTAACTCTGACAGTAAGTAGTTTCGCAGTTCTTGGCCACTGTCGAGTAAAATGACTTTAATTAGGCAACTCGCTAACGACCTGCAGGCAACATAAATCACCGTTAAAACCTTGAGCAAAGGATACCACGGTGTCGCATTGTTCCTTCCGTGTTCTTCTGCTCTCTTCTGTGACGAAAGTCTATCGCATAACATTGGTGGTCAATGTTTTGCTATCGATTTCTATCTGATTACGTACGATTTCTCGCGTAGCAGATTCTCCGATGTTGTT